AGATCTCTCCCCACCTCCTACCTGTCTCATATTGATGCCTGCTACCGATCATCCCCCGTCAGAGCCCAAAGCGCAAGGACACGTGGCCCAAAGGTGGACAGCAGACAGCCTCGGGCGGGGGGGGCAGACAGCCTGGGGGGGGCGGACAGCCTCTGGGGGGGCAGACAGCCTCTGGGGGGGCGGACAGTCTCTTGGGGGGTGGACAGCCTCTGGGGGGGTGGACAGCTGGAGGACGGAGACAGGAGGGGCCTCAATGGAAAAACCAGCACCGAAGTTGGAGGTGGTCACACCCGGAAATTTTCCCGCACTTAGTAGGCGGCCGAGAGATGCAGCGCCCCCTTCCTGCACGTCGTAGGTGGCCGAGAGATGCCAGGCCCCAGGACACAGACCGCGTCTGTTGGCTGGCTCCTGCAAACTTTCGCAACAGCGACTGATTGTTTACCAGTGGACAATCTCAGGCCAAAGCAAATTTCCCCAGGTGAAACCAAACACGCGGTCACAGGTTAGAGCCGTAGTCAGGGAGACGCGGGCGGCCAGCGGGACCCGGCCTGAGACGGAGGCCCGCCAGGGGAGGCCGGGTCTACAGCATGCAGAGGGGGGAGAAACAGGCTGAAAATTAAATATGAAATGGGTGATTATGTAGTGATGAGATTGAGGACATTGCAAAGGACACTGACATTTAAACCACCACATCGCAACAGAGCCATGACGGGAAAAACCCTCCGGCTTCGTAATTATGATCATAGTTGCCATAACAACTTAGTAGCTCTAAGCATCTCTCTCCGGACTGTATTTTTAGCAATGACTGTGCCTGAGCGTATATTTTTCTTTATATAGCAGTTAATTTTTCAAATTACAGATCTTAAAAAAAATTCCATTTTCATCTTCTCTGACTGTAAACGTCGCCGGGATAATTAGAGAAATGAACAGGTGTGAAAGTCCATTGCGAAAAGCGCTATAAAAGTATTGACGTCCTGACAACATTTGTTTCAACAGAATGTTCTCCGGACCCGTGTGGCTGGTGTATTGTTCCTTGTTATACAGCTTAACATAAATCTTCTCCTAGGGGCTCATAAATATTTGAAAAATTATTAGCTCTGTAAGGGGCTTGAGGGTAATTTGACAAGCGCAGATTTATGTGGTGTAACAGAGACTGGCTTAGCAGAATCCTGAGCCTGAGGAATGAGTGAGTGAATAAACCCTAGCTTACTTTGCTCACCAGAAATGTACATAATAGATTCCCAACTGATGCAAACAAGGGGTCGGCTGAAAGGAACATGCTTTGAAGAACTCAGAAGCCAGGAGGGAGCCGAGCTGGGAGCTGCCATTTTGAGTCCGTCTTTGCCCAGCTGATTGGCTTCACAGCACAGCTCGTGTTCTGGAAAGGTCAGCGCTTCACCCACCTCTGTTTCCACTGTGGGCAGATGCTAGGTCTTTTGTTAGGGTCCCAGACTTGAGTTAAACAAAGACAATACTAGGTTGAGAACAAAAAAGATCTTGGAGAGAAGCATTCTTGTCTGAGCCCATGAAAGGCTTGGTGCTCAGGTTAGTCATGCTATGAAGACTTCCTGAGAATGTTCTCTCTTGTCCTCTCTTTCTTCGGTTGGAGGATGTGAAATCAGCCAATCCTCACAATCACTCGTTTATAAAGAGCTAATGAGCGTGCACAGGGACAGTGGCAGGTAGGCCGTATCACTGCCCCCGGGGGAGCTATGTCTGGGTGTGTGAGCCTGGGCGCCGCATGGGAGCAGCACGTGTGGGGACCGGTCGGCCTTGGGGCTCTTCAGTGGGAGAGCACATAGGAGCGGATGTTTTTGGGAGAAGCCTGGTAGCGTCCCAGGCAGGGTGAGGGCCAGTCAGAGGCTGCAGTGGCAAACAGTCATGACCTGGACGTGCCATCTGTAGGCTTGGGCCTGCTAGAGGGAACAGAGGATTAGCGAAGACGGCCAGCCAGGACGCACGGCTTTGTCAGCTATTTGGAAGCTCAAGGAGAAACGGGACAAAGTCTTCCTCTGGGAAGCTGGCAGGCCGCAGGGGTGAGCAGTTCGGAGGGCGCAGACCGAGGTCAGCGTTGTCCCCCCAGCGCCCAAACCTCACCCACTCCGGCCGTGCCCTGAGTTCCCGGACCTGCAGCCCCAGAGAGAAGGCTCCAGAGGCAGCCAGAGGCAGCTCCCGGGCCAGCAGCGGCTGCCCGCGGCGGGAGACGGGTCGAGGCAATCAGTTCCCGTCTCATTGGTTCTGCTTGCTTTACTTCTGTGTCCCTCCAAGGAAATCAAGCAAGCAAGCAGCAATAAAGAGAAGAGCCATTAGTGGATGAATTCCCTGATTCCAGGGGCGTGTTGAGAATCACGTTTGGGCAGGACGACTTCTACCAGACCCGACAAAATAGGGGTGCGCTGTTGTGTTTATGTAAGGGGGCCAATGAAGAACACTTCCAGAGCACGGATGTGGGGCTATTGTGAGCCCCACTGGCTGCCGTGAGTTGCTGGGTGGAGGCGAGGGCAGGCCTTGGCCCGACGGGCACTGGCTTGCTGTGCATCTTCGAGACAGTCTGGGTCTTGGTCTCCGTCTCTGCAAAGCAGGAGGGAGAAGGCTAGTCTCCGGCTAACTGCTTCAGAGTTGTTGAGGGGTGTCACAGACATGCCAGTGTTCATTTCCCCCCCACAGCTAGCAGGTCCTAAAGGTCTGGGGAGTAGCTTGGGCGTCTGCATGGGGAGCAAGCTCTGGGGTCTCTGCGGGGACTCTGCCAGGATGCCGGGTGCGCCCTTGGCGGTACGGCCTACAGTTTGCCGGGACTTCTGGGGGTATCACTGCTGCTGTTTTGCTGTCTGGAGTTCCTGGCTTCAGATAAAAGAACACTTGATCCCTGGGGATGTCTCAAGGAGGAGGGGGGTAGCGATCCAGAGGAGGTCATGGACCCGCTGCCAGGACTGCTTGGCCGGGGGGAGCAGAGGGATGGGGCCGGCCCCTGGCATGTGTCCTGGGGGACTCCCAGCAAAATACAGAGCTTCTGGCCCTCGGAGACAGGATGGGCCCCGCCTAAACCTGCCACCCCTTCCTTGCTCTCTGGCCTTTCTGCTCTGGCCTGTGCCCAGGAGCTCTGTCCTGAAGGGTGGCCTGGCTAGGTGGCCTGTGCGGGGACAGTGAGAAAATGCCCGGTGGCAAGTGGGGGCAACAGTCCTGGCCCAAGCCCTGCCTGTTGTGTGGCTCAAAGAAGTAATTCCCGGAAATGGGGAGTTCTCTCCCCAGA